CCATTATTAAACCATACACTTAATACACTTTTTTCAATTGCTGAAATAATTGTCGTAATGGTTTTATCGGTTTGTTCTGACGCTTCTCAAAATTTAAGAACGTTTTGTACATTGTGCGTACATGGCTTTTTTCTCTCTATTTTGCTGGGTCTTAGGAGATTAAAAGTGACCTCTACGCACGCGTTCTGTATAATTAAAGTTTAATCCTATTTAGATATTAACGATCAAAACGGAATTCCCATCCAGGATTAGAATTTAATGTCGAAAATCGTGTTTCAGTTTTCCGATAAATAATTTAATTAGTTAAAAAATACCGGGTTTCAAAAGACGCTTTCAAATAAGTCGCTTATAGAAGCACTGCAGTGGCCCCACTGTGACGCTGCAGTCGCACCACTACTTATTTTCATATAATATTTAGCGTATCGTGGCATGTCACGCCACTTTTGTAGGCACAATAAGTGAACTAAAAATTACTAAAGCGCTACAGAAACGCAGATTGCGCAACCACAATCGCGCCACTGCAGCGCTTCTACAAATATCTTCGAAGGTCCCCAAAAACTCGTAAACTTTCACACAAAAGATAGAAACTGTATGCTAGGTTATTAAAGACAATAGAGAGCGTAGGAAAAGTAACGAATACCTTATACAAAAAGAATATTTCTACAAATCTACCATAGGCATGAACATCAGCCTACGTAATAAAGAAATACGTAAACAGAAAAAGCGACAGTAGAATTTCAGGCACGTAATCTCTGCCTAGTCCATTGGGATACCGGTATATTGTAGTAACTTAAGGCTGGAAGATGCGTGATGTGGAATTTTAATAATTAATTTTGTATTAATTAATATTATTTTTGTACTGACCATACTAGACATGTTACTATTTGAGTTTGTACAAATTCCAGGGCAGGTCCCAGTAAGAGCAATATGGGAAACGACCTTTTCTAAATTTGTTCTGATCTGTGTATTGTGGCATAGTATAATAAGTAGTCCAGCTCCATTATTATTTTAATTGCATCAACAATTTGTAAACATGACTTTAAAAAAATATGGTATTGTTAAAGCAATAAGCGCGGGTACACACGCACCTCCCTTTGCTTAAATAAAAAAAAACAAGTAAACGCCTTTCTATACAAAATAATAACAACACACCCGTTGCATACCTTTTCTGCATGATGTTTAATGAAAACGTAATTAGTTTTGTTTTATAACATCAAGTAACGGAACGAACAAGTCGTAGACGTGGTGGTGACAGTCAGAGCTTTAAATCGCAAGGATCTGAGGGGCACTGCCACTGCCACGTCACCCTAAGACACAAAGGTGAGAAGACCCTGCCGTTTCACTTGCATCCTTACGAAAGCAGTAATGCTCACATTACAGCTTGGTGGCAGAAATAGTACTGCTACTTAAGTGCCTATAACGTACCTAAAAGACTACAACAAAATTATATCATATAAATAGCATAACCAGCTTAAATATTGGTCTCAAGTTTTAAGTCACCGACAGATATTTCGATTTTATACGTTTATACAAAGTATTGTATAAAGTCGCCTTCAAATTATAGAAGCGCTGCAGTAGCGCGTTTGTAGCGTAACAGTGCTAATTTTCATTCAATATCTAGAAGCGCAGTCGCAGCACCACTGTCGCGCCTCTATAAACGTGTAATTAAAGTCTGTCTTTAAGAGTAGTATTCCAGAGCTCTACTCAATGCTCAAGTCAGGACATGATTATGATTTCAAGCACTGGAAATACGACCCTAATCGCAAGGACTTGCTTATGATTTCTAGTGCTATAAATCGTAGTCAAATCCTGACTTGAACATTGAGTAGAGTTCTAGACCCTTAGACGGAGTAAAATGGTATTTGTAATGTTGCTAGTTTTCATAAAATTTTAAATAGTTATGTAATTGTTATCGATAGATTGTGAAATAAGATAAAATTTAACCAAAAATGACTAAATTATTATTGTGAATGTTACGAACGTTCTAATGATTACTAATTGCGTCATTGCCTTATTTATTCTTATTTTGACAGTTGGCCTACTAGTATCGAGATCAATTTTTATTCGGATTTGATTATCTATGTATATCGTATTAGAATGAAAAACTTTAAAATATATCTCCTGTTTGTATTTTTCATAAACATAGTGCATGGATGTATGAACTTACAAAAATTGACAATTCACGTGTGTATGGATGTATGAACTTACAAAAATTGACAATTCAAGTCATCTTGTGCTCAGTAATTAGTTGAATAACGTATCGAGGATGATCCAAATGAAACGAGTTCGGCTATTTACCTATTTCATAAGCGTGGCCAATATTTAGTCGATGGTCGGTAGAATATTTATCGACTGCAATCACTAGCTGCTCGCAAGCGGGCGACACTCTTGCGCAAAGAACTGTCATTTTACTCCGTCTTCAAAAATACAGACTATAGAAAACGACCCAAGCACAAGAAACAAATATAACGTAATCAACATATTCTTCAGTTTACCCCAACAAATTTTGTTCAAAGGTTACGGCTGGAAAGAAGAATTTGCGACTAGTCCAACAGACCTCGATATCAAAGATATAAAATAACGCTAATATAGCTTAAATATGAATTATTCCATAATTGGTATGTTATATTTTCGTATTTGTTTCATTTTGAGCGTTCTTCTTTTTTTTGTTAGATTTTTGTTCCCTGAACGAAAGAAATGAGCCGTTATGTTTTTAAAAAAATGTTATCGTGGTTTTTGCTAGTAGTTCATTAAAGGTATGCATAACACAAACTCGCATTGCAAGGTCTGGGCTGTATGGCGGATTGGTTATCATATCCACATTTGAGGCCTTAATACGCATTCGTTACCTTGGCGGAATGTGCCGAGGCGTTATCGTTGCGAAGGACGATATTGCTTCGAGGACGCTTTTCGCGAAATTTTTCTAACACTCTGAGCAAGCGGGTGTTTACATACCAATCTGCAATCACTATCATTTGGTCTTCAACCGCTACAGTAGTGTAATGTCCTGATTTGCCGAAGAAAGAAGCAACCATTTTCTTACCAGTGCTCTGACTTTTCTTAACTTTCGTTGTAAATCTTCAAAAGGAAAGACACATTCTGCGGACTGGCTTTTTCTTTCCGGTTCAAAGCAGTACACCCAGGTTTCTTCTTCTTCTTTTTTATCATTTTGTGGCACCACTCTACACGCAATCGTTTCTGGTACGCCGTTAAATCATGAGGTATCCATCGTGTAAAGTTTCCGAACCTTCAGATGCACATGCACCTGGTTCATTCCAATGCCTAATACAGTACGAATTTCCTGACAAGTAATTTTTTTGTCAGTTTCAATCAGTTGTCTTACGGTATCAATATTAAATTCGGTAACCGCAATCGCCGGCCGACCTTCACGTACATATATGTATATCATGAAGATGATCACGTCTAAATGCACTGAAACACGAATAGACAGAACTACGACATGGGGCTTCATCACCAAATGCCAATTGAAGTCTCTGACAACTCTCTTGTTGACTTTAAGTCACAAACGTAGAAAATCGGACGGAAAATTTTCACGACTGAAATTCATTGTAATAGCGACTCAAATGGCAGTTTTATAGTGTAAAAAGTTACCTACTCAGAGAGTTCCTTTTTAAAATTTCGTATTTTTTTTAGTTTCTGTCACAATTGGCCAGTTCCGTTCAAGAACTTTCAATATGGCCCACATAACTATTTTATTCATATTATCCCTACTCTGTTATTGTGTAGACAGAACACTGAACACTGTTGCATAACAATCTATGATATTGAAGTGTTATGTCTTCACCGCACATCAGTGAAACAGCGTATGTATGAAACGCCGCATCTATAGAGAAAACTAAGCATCGATTTCATTACCTATACTATGTTTTTGACATTTATTCTACCAATATATATTTCAAAGATCTATATTTTATTTAATCAATTACTAAAATTATGAAAACTGAATAAAATGATGAAACATAAAAAAGAAAACAATAATAATCCGATATGGCTATTGTAGAAAATTGTACATTGCCCTCTATGAATTAGCTCGATAACCAGCTAGCTCTTTTGAGGCTAAGTAACAAAGTGCATCTAGTCTACTGGAGCTCGTATTAGTACGCGGTAAACTCCATAGATGGCACTAAATGTAAATTAAACTAAGGTGAGAGAAAACTAGTTACAAAAATCAACATTTTTCCATAAAAATAAGGAATTTTAACAAGTGTTAAAGTCGCAGTTATATCTTTCACATATTTTCAATCGTAATTTATTTGATAATCCAGGGGTTTTAGTTTTATCTAATTATTTTATAATACCGAATAGGTACTGTTGAGAAAGTGAACAACATCAATGAATCAAACAAACCGAAGTGATATTATAATAACTAGTACTATAGTCCATTTGTTTAGGGACTTAACTAAATGTGAACAGCCTTGATACATCTTTTTATTGAAACATTATACTTAATAAATTTAATAGGTACGCAATTTCATATGAAGCTAAATAGTTGTAATTTGTATTTGAAGGTAAGTAAAAATCATTTTATACATGTATATTTCATTAAATAGTAATAACAAGATTATTTACATTAGGTAAGTAACTAAACAAATGGACTATAGTAAACTTTACTAACTACTTAATTATTAAACTTCGTAACTTAGCAGCAATGTATCCACCGCTGTTATAGTATAACTATGGACGGAATGCCACCTAGTAGCTAGCGTTCCGGAAACATTAAGAAAGACTTAACAAAAATGTTTAAATTTACACTCAATAAAGAGTACAATTTATTATTAAATTATTTTAAGTATTAATAAGAAAATCTTTTAAGTTACCATAGGAATTACAATTTATTTACAAAATAGGTTTTATTAACAATACCGAAGATTTAATACAGACAAATGGAACGTAGTAAGATGTGAATAAAATGAATGCCACGTATAAGTTGCCATGAGAGACGCCACTTTACAATGACGACACGCGCCCCACCAGCGTAGTTTGTGGGCCCGGTCCGCTTCACGTCCGCTTAGTCTATAGCAAGTATTCGTTGGGGTGGACGTGTGTTTGTACATCGTACGCCATTTCCACTTAATTTCTGTGATATTTACAAAGTAATCAACCAAAATGTCGGGATGTAAGTAGCCTGTTGTATTATTTTGATACTTTAAAACGATTTTGAATTACAATTTACCGATTTATAAACTAAATTTTGTAGAAAGTGTCTGTCTACTAACAACGCAGTCGGCGCGCGGGGAAACTATTCACCTACCTATACATTGTTGATGTGTAATTTTTTTGCTAAAAATAACTGTTCTTGTGATGAAGAAGTCCCCGAATGTTCAGTAATGTTAATACTTTTTACTAACACCATTAATAGACATTTTAAAGTATATCGTAATTGTACAAACAAACCTGTTTAACTTTGTATTTGCAAAACAAACAAGGTATTTGGTTTAAATGTTTTCATTGTCTTCACCAATTCACATGAACATACCCGTATTGAATTTGAAATTCGTTGCTCCATATTTCAAATAAGGAGTCTTTAAAAAAAAGGCGGGTTTTAGTAGTTTTTTACACGAATTAATTTCTAGTTTATGTGTATTACGTTGTGCGTTTCTTGATTATTTGTTACCATTAAGCTGATGGCTCTGAAGCCAATGCTTTTTAAATAAAAAAAAAAATCAAATAAGGCCAATATGTATATGTACGGTTGAAGTCAGTGGTGCGAGACCAGTCCCGATTTAGGAAAACGATAATAGCTTGTATGACGTCATTGCGGTGTGACATCACAAAAAATTGCGGTGTTTTATAACTCCTAATTTTTTAATGCCTATATCTATTTAATTTTTTAGCAAATGTCTACTCTTGTTTTTGAAAACTTTATGAAAATGAATTCAATTTTGTAAAGTATGCTTGTATTCACGGAAGCATGTGGTCTGTGCTTGTATTATACAATTGATAATGCAACAATGATATACCTACCATGGGGCAATGTATTCTTTGTTTGCAAAATTGTACCTTACGGTATTTATGTAGAGTTCAATTTTGCAATTTCGAAAAGCGACAGTTTATTTAGTTGCCTCGTTTAATGCCGCTGTTGCGAAATATTATAATACTGCAAAAATAGATTAAGATGATTGAACTTTATGAAAGATAAAAATCTCGATTTTGATTGATTTACATTGCATTATCAATAAGTTATTTTAATAATTGTTTGAAAGTACTTTAATCAAGGTTTACTCGGTCACGTCGCAATGGCTTGACGAATTCGTGGGTAAAAAAAGAAAGAAAAACACAACCAGTGAGTAAAGGGAAAATGTGTTAAGTACATACATATAAAAAAACAATTACACTGCACTAAACTTAAGTATGTCTTAAACCAGTGCTTAAATTGATAAGACTCACTTAACACAATGTATTAAGAGTGCCTTTTGTATTGCAAACATTTGTAAGACGTACCTAAGTTTAGTGCAAGTGGACATAAATCTATTAAAATTCTTTATGGAAAATTGCACAGTCGATGCCCTGAGATATCTGACCCCCTGTCTATTTGGTTCTGAGTAGGTCAAACAAACTTTATCTTTAACCTATGATATTTAAAATTCATTTTGGTATGACTTCCTTATTTCATAATCATTAGTGAATGACTTTTCAAGAAACTTTTTAAGCCAATTTAATCTTTAATTACATTACATAAATACAAATTTCAACCTAAAATCTAGAATTCCTTTACACTTTTCTGTGGAATGCGTAAGAAGGTTCATAGAAGCAAAACCGTCGGCTAAGGTGTCAGGTATAATAGACTGTACCGGTGATCTTATCATCTTTTTAACAGACTTCAAAAATGGAGGAGATTCTCAATGCGACTGTATTTTTTTAAGTATGTTACGCGATGATTGACCACGATTTGTGCACCGATTTTGATGATTCTTTTTTTGTTAGAAAGACGTAACCTCGTTATTGGACCCATTTAAATTTTGAAGAGAGGTGGAATATTTCACCTCTAAGGGTGGCAAACTAGGGGATAAGTCCGGTTTCGCGCACTTTCCGGTAACCGATTTCAATAACACTTTGCAAATAGATGAATCCCACGAACTTTTGAGATCGGTTTCCTTGGTACTCTATAGCGAGATTATTTAAGTACTTATATTATTATTGACCTCATATTATTTAAATAGTGTTAGCGTTTATAATTAAAAAAACCAGACAGTTTGTAAGCTTAACCTGTCGCTGAGTACAGTAACTTACTATCGCTGTTCTGTTTCAGATCCATACGGAGGCCACCCACAATACCCCTCGCCACAAAACCCAATCTACCCTCAAATTTACAACACTAATAATACACCAGTCCCTGGCCAACCCTCTGCTCCAGGCTACCCAGCCCCTGGACAGTATGTCCCTCAACCTGGATTTGCGTACCCTTACCCTCAACCAGGCTCCGGTCAAGCTTCGCACCCTGTGGCAATGTCTTATCCAGGCATAGCACCGACAGCACCGCTACCGTCAGGACCACCTTACGGGTACCCCGGTGTAACTACTGGAACGCCTGGCTACCCTGGCGTAACGAATGTGAGCTACCCTGGTCTGGCCGCTGGTGTTTCTGTTACGTCGAGTAAGTATTCTTAAGTATTAACGCTAATTGTTACAAAATTATTGATACTCACTAAATTATCAGCACATTCACTGCCTTAGGGATCAAGGTCAATCTTCAGCGGGAGTAAACTAGCGTAAGCCAAGTACTTGTGTACTTACCTGTCCCAATAACCACACAAACCACTTGCAAGGGTTACTGTATTCCTTGACAAAGCAAAGATGCACACTTGGTTTACGCGAGTTGACGAGATAAGAAGGTCTGGCAACCTCTGCTGGTAGACGGTCCTCGTTTACCTATTGCCATATTCCTTAGATAGTGACTATAGAGCTCCACACAACGAGCTTGTCTTACAAGTATAATAATGTGCCATGCCATAGTGTACAAAAATGTTGTCAGGTTAGACATTTTGGACGAAAACTTGAAAAAACACTGACAAGTGGTGCATTTTAATATTTCAAACGCAGTACGAAAACTTCCGTGTGCCAATTTAAAATGGTTTTGAAGAAAACTTACTTCAAAGGTCTTTGATTTTTATACCTCGCTTTTTGCTTTCAATGAAATGCCACAATTCCAATATTATATTATTTTAATTTAATTGTTTTGTTTTTATGTTTTTATTGATATTTTATAGTAAGTATTCTAAAATTTCCACTCTCACCAAAATTGTGGGTATCGCAAATATCCTATCCATAATATCAGGGAATTAACAGGTAATTTTTTTGTAGGTACTCAAAATAGTATTCATATTTACCTATATTCTAAAATTCTTTGCAATTTGCAAAAGGAGCTATTCCTTGTGAAAAAATTCGTCCAGGGAAGTACTGCAACAACAAGTGAGCACTATTGTATTGGAGTTTGGAAGGGTAAGGGTGCTGGTGAAATTACAGGCACATGGGACTTGTCAAATTGTATCAGGATGACGGGCGCAGTAGCAGTGCCCATCAGGTCTTTGCGATTTAATGCTCTGATTGGCACTGCAACTGTTATGGACAGGCATGTCTCTTACCACCAGGCGCTCGACGATTTGTTCGTCCCGTTACTTGATATATAAAGGGATTCTCAGTACAGAGTACATTTTGAAACGTTACATAAATAGTTTTTTTAAGTACCAGTTAATAAATATTTCAAAAAACATTGAAGTGTTTTTTTTTTTTTTTTTCAAAAAAAGCATGGACAAAAGCACAACGTTTTGTGTTTTTAATAATTCAACGCATCACTTACTAAGGTTTACTCAAAATGTCTCATCTAACAGGTTTTTTATGTCCAATGATATCTTAATTGCTTTGTTATCGTATTTAATTGCCCAAACATAAAATTCTTTACATACGTCACATAGGGCGAATATTGGACCAATGTTGCGATCCTTACACCTGCAAGTACTAATACGCTGCAACACTCATAAACATCTTTCATACTTGCGCCTTTTATTCTCAATAGCAAATGGTTTAAAACAAATTTTTATGTAAACAAATGGTAGCAATAATAATGATACCTAATTATGAATAATGTGTTGTGAAATGTTTTTGCTATTTATGATTCAGTGATAATAGACACCTTCCTTACCAATGACGTCAGTCACTGAAATTAACGTAAAGTTAATGACAAATACACTATATTGATTCATTACCCTAAAATGAGGAAATTGTACATTATTCAGAGACCGGGGAGGAAGAGATTGCTGGACGAGTATGAATTACAAGGCCCAGGGCCAGCGAGGCCGTGTATTAATACGAGTCAAGCAATCCCCGTTCCCGCCGAGGCTTATAACGATATATTGATTTTCTCAAACAGTGTGAAGAAATAATAGGAGACTAATAAATAAAAAATACAAAAACACTAGTTTAATTGTTAGTGTCGTTTTCTTTTTTTTTAAGTAAGCTGGGCTAGTAGGTATTTTCAATTCTCGCAACTGTGAACACTGGGCTGTATGACTTTTTCTTTTGCCTATTTACATAGTTAAAAAAACATATAGTCGAAATGAGAACCTTCTCCCTTTTTTGAAGTCGGTTAATTATTAGTAGAGGATTTAAAAATTTATAAAAGTGCATAGTAATGGATTTTCATACTTACTTTGCAGGCCTTGGCCGGGAAGAAGTCGCACGGTCCATAAATGACAAACTTTCCGTGTTCGTTTTTTGAAAGCGACGCAAACATTTCCGAGCATGTTTGAGAAATATACATAATATAGTCATGATAGTAGATAATTTAATGAGTCACAATAAATGTGAGTAATGAGTAACTCGCGCACGCTAATTAATACATTTTGAAATTCCAGCTACAGTAGAATGGGTGCCAGCGACAACTAGCAGTGCTACGTCACTTACAAACAGAGCGGTAGTAGCAGGCTACGAAGGTCATGATGGTAGTCCTCTATGGGTGATTAGGGCCCGGCTCGAAGGCGAACTGATACCCGGCAAGCTAGCTATCAAACACCACGGCGCATACATCCCTTGGGATGGCAAGGAAAATGTTGTACATAGTTTTGAGGTAATCATTAATGCTTTTCATAAAACAGACAAACATAGAATTAGTCTTACTGCTATTTTGCATTATAATGCAGATAAAAGGTAGCTCATGTGGCTGCGCACTTGCTGCTATAGATACAGCGTTCTGTGTTTTGTCACGCTTTGTATGATACTCCATTTACATTAAAATTGCACGACGTTTTCTTATACTTGCTCGATTTGTTTTCTCCCACGTTAAAGGCATGACATGATGATAATATCCGAATTTGTTTTCACCATTTCTATAAACCTCTTGTTACCATGATAATGAATTAAGACAATAATAATAATACTAATAATAACGCACACACTCAACATAGCCTACTACTAGGGAAACCCTGTGTCGCGGGTGCCATGGACACACACATAGACAACCACAAATTACACCCAAACTCACGAGAGAAATAAATGTAGGCCATACAAATATTTCTCCCGGCCCGGGAATCGAACCTGGGACCTCTGCGTGGCAGTCCGGCATGGTAACCGTTCGGCCACGGAGGCAGTTTACACATTATTTTACTTAGGTAATGTTGCAAGTTTAACCGTTAAAGTGTATTGTCAAAAGTTGAATGCGAACAACGTGCGTGTAGGTTCGCTTGAATTGGTGAATATGTACACGGTCGGAACGGCAACGTTGGAATGTAGTGTGAATGAGAAATGCTTGCAGTCTCACTCGCACATGTTAGGCAGATTATGGGAAAAATAAGGACAGCAAGCATGGTTAGTCTTTACTTGTTTTCATTTTTGTTCTCACTATTCTCAATAGATGGCGCACTCTAAACGTTAAACAGTCTAATTTTTGTCTCTTGGAATACTTATAGATTGAGCTATGGGTTGTAACCAGTGAAAACAAAACTAATTAGTATGGGAGCCTGTACTTAGTATTCTGAGCACAGTGCTACCGTCCTTAACATAAACAACGTAAACGTTTTTAGCTAAATGAAACATATCTGGAATCAGCGAAACGAGATCTACAACCCCTTTTAAGCGGTTTTTTTTATCTTATTTAGTTTCAGTTTTCGGTCGTTCTAGGACTAGTGTTCACTACCTAATTTCCGTGGCAAATTTTATCATTTAAGTATTCGATTTTTTTATCGTGCAATATTATTGAATATCAGAGTTTTACTTCGTGAAATATTATTTCCTAATTAGATGATAATATATTTCATATTTAAATAATAAAAATTGCCACGAAAATTAGGTGGTGAACAATAGTCCGAGAATAACCGTTTTAGTGACAAGCACAATCCGCGCAATTGACATTTTTTAAAGATTTCGTTTCAAAAAGGTCAATTACTCGATTATTGCAAAGAAAAGGGCCAATATCTCGAAAGTTCCCAAAATGCGTTGCTTATGACAATTGACAAGGAAGGCAGAGTGACTTCTGTAAGATTACCTAATCATTAACTTTATAATGCGAGAAAACCCTTGGAAAATTCACGCAAAACCTGGATCAATTAGTTCGCCTACTCCACATTAGCCGTAACAGTAAAAAAATACCACCGGTAGTGAAATGATAGTAGCATTTACTTCACTTCAATAAAACATAACCGAAAAACCTAATATGCCAGTTACTATTTGTTCCGAAAAAAAATTTGCACATAGTCTTAAGTCACCACAGAGACCGCTATTTATGTCATGTGATACCACGATGAAACGTACTGTATATACCTATGTTATGTTTAGGTACGGTTTTTAATGGTATTACTTGTATAACCTCGGAAACTTTCAACTGAAACAGGCTATTGCGGGGGTGATGATTGTGAGCCGATCCTTTGAAAGTTTCATTACACCTACATATAAGAACTATAATCTTAAAATTGATTGTAGTGAATGTTATGTTTTACTACTTACCATGATTTTCGTTTATTTTCTGTGAAATGACTCCACTATAGTTTGTTATAATTATTAATACAAAGATCGGACACCTCCACCTTCGATCTGACATGTCCACTAGACCTGTCGGATGGAAGGAACTTTTATTTATTCTTTCTTTGTATTAATAATTATAAAGAACTACAATCATCACTGGTTACTGATATGATTGGACTGACTGGTTCACCAGTCAGCGAAATAACCTACCATACTGTAATTTGCATAAACAGACAGACGACAGTAAAAAAAATATGTTTTATTCAGAATATTAATCACTACATTTATAAAGTCTGTTCCAATCCATTTAAAACTGGAATAGAATGGACAGTGGCATTGAATTTTTCGTATTTACTTTGCTTTGTATATTTTCATGCATAAGTGTTAAATTATTGTCTCTGCAAATTCCAGGTCTGCTGTGCTAGACCTGAGACTATCCGTTGGATCGAAGCAAGAAATGGTTTAATACCGCCAAATGCAGTAGCTGCCGGCAACACTTCAAATGGAGAACCACTCTATATTGGTAGAGCTAAACATCAAGGCTCTCTAACTCCCGGCAAGGTTAGTAAAAATCTACTTTTAAGATGCTACCTGCAATTGATTTCTAAGATACATAACAGACAAAATTTTGGATAACACAAGACTATTTTTAAATCGCGCTTAACTGCCTCTTTATACGGAAATTAATGAATGAAGGAAATATTCTTTATGAAATTAGTACGTCACCTTCACCCACACACTTATAAAATGAAGCAGACAACATAATTTCACACCCACATACCTACACGTAATTATATTAGAGTTATAGTATCGCTTTCCTTCCAAGAACGAAACGTAGTGTCTATTTCTTTTTTTCACTTGTGTTGGCGCACCGACCCTTGTGGCGCCATTTTTTAAGCGACCTGAAAACTGGTCCATATCAGCAGATACAATAATTAATTGTATTATTTATTTTTTTGTAATTCAAACGTAACAACTTATATAATACAATTTTAAGAACTAGATTGGTGAATTTGTGAAATGGAAGTTGGCAACAATAATGTGATAAGACCACGCAGTTTTATGAAGTGTGTTTAGTCTGCTTCCCATTTATAAATCTATGACTCCACTCGATTGTTTGACTAGAGGCGCGCTTCTTTCAAAACGCATATTCATCTCTTCGATAAAATTGCAAAATGGATCTATAATTTATAGGCTGGACAAAAAATATATGTTACAGTGGTTGTTCAGGAGATTAAGCCAGCGACATCTTCAAAATGTGACAAACATACCACGTAACCCCCACAAGTAACCTCTGTAAGCGTGACTCAAAAGTTACCTAGTAAATTTGATATTAGTTGTTGAATATGAAAAAAGCCGTGGTAACCTAACGGTTTAACCCAACGCGTCTCAAGCAGAGGCCGCTGGTGCGAATCCGGGTCGAAGGATTGAATTTTTGGAATTTATGTGCGAAATTTTAAAATTTGCTATGAGCTATTCGGTGAAGGAAAACATCGTGATGAAACTTGCGCGTCGTACGTGCCTAGCAGTGGGACGTATAAAAGGGCTTAAGTTGATGTTTCAAAATAATAATATAAACACTGTAGAACAAATTTAATAGGAACAAATTTTCAACAAAACATTTGGCAGCTTGTGTTATGACGTGACGACTGAGTGACCTTGATTTGATATTCATTGCAGGTACACCCATCTCACAAATGTTTGTACATTTCTTACGGCGGACAAGAGATACCACACCATTCTTATGAGGTGCTGTGTACAGTGTAATGTATTTTTTTTGCGGGTAATTTTAATCTCATACGAAACGCGTTTTAGAGACTGTTCAAGTGTATTTTATATTTTGTCTTAATTATTTTTAATAAGTATCTTTATATTAATGTATTTTTATGTAGATTTTTACAATGCAGTAAAATTATTAGATATTATTTGTACTTTGCAACGTAAAAGTTCTGTAAAAGATCTGGTAAATTTTATAGCATTTAATTTAAAAATAATATGTTAGGACTAGTTAAAGTGACTAATAATTTTACTGTATCATTTATTTTAGGAATTTTATTGTTATTTGTTACAAGCTAAATAATATAAATTTTGATTTTATGCAGTGTTTTCTTTACAATCTTTTCACATAATTCACAGCCAATTTTAACTACAATGTGTTAATAGTACATCGTGTACTAAGGGCGATAAATAAGGAATTACAAACGAGACTTTATTAGAAGCCCGAAGTCGAAGACCGCCCGTGTCACACACATTCGCGAGGAAATAATAAATACAAAGATAAACGCAGTAACAATAAATATCGCTTCACAACCAACGATGTCTATGTAAAACTCGACAATTACGGATTTTAAAATGGCGGGTTTGGGTTTTTTTTTTCTTTTTTCATATAAAACAGATGGCCAGCTCTTCTTCCATAGATAAATACAACTCAAAAAGATGTTAAAGGCAGAAATGTATGCAGCCATGACGTATTAGATTAAAATAAATAATTTCAAAATACTAAAAATACTGCTAAATTTAAATCTATAAAAATAATGACAATGCGCGCTTGCAATCATGCCATACGGTATAATAAAAACTTCTAGAAAAGTAAAATGAAAAAAAAAAAACAGGTTGGTAGGTATAAAGGTAGTACATAGATATTGTTGACAGTGTATCATATTTTCATTACGTAGTGTATTGTATAATCATAGCTATTATTTAAAAGTGTTGTTTTGTACTGTATTTTTTATTTATTTTATTTATATATTTAAATTAATCGTAATAGAAATTACAGAAGCAATACAAATTATCAAATTGTAGCTAACTGTCCTTTTCCTACATATTGCATGAACAAGACAAAGAGACCCATTACTAGGTTGTTTATATAGGTAATTCCGGACACTTTTCGTGGTTTTTTGTATTAGACCTGTCGTCAATTTGTTGGCATTAGCGATACAGGGTTTCCCTGCGGGGCGCTGAGTGTGTGCGCAAAAAAAATCTGGTAATGAAAAACAAAAACCAAATCAATAAAATTCCAAAATAATTATTTATAAGTACATTTCAACCTACTCTACCTAAATCTAAATTCAACGTTTTAGCTTTTTCATATTCCTTTACATGTCACTACGTTTAAATAGGTTGTATTTATAATTAAATAGGTACAATATTTAAACGTAGTGACATGTAAAGGAATATGAAAAAGCTAAAACGTTGAATTTAAATTGTAATGTCATCGCAGTACTGTCTAATTTTGCTTGCTTCGCTGTCAGTCGAACAAACGAAGACTAAAGCGTGAATGACGCTCTGTATACGATTTTAACGCCCTATAAGTTCGGACACTTTTTAGCGCGGATCCGACGTCCATATAATTGTAAGGTAATGATAGAATGCACAAAAAATATTCTTTCCCTAAAGCTAACTATTAATCTACCTACCCGTTCAGTATTTAAGACTTCTCAACGAAACATGTTTTGACTTTTCCTGCAATATTACTTTGTTGTAATTATCATTTTGTTCTCCGGGGATGGCGATTTGTATGGAGAGAAATAAGTTAATGCTCAATTTATATTGAGGCGGAACGGAAAGGAAGAGAATCTTTGTAACGCTATTGTACTTAGCGTAATTGACTTTCTGGTCAATTGTGTAAAATACAATCTAGATAGGAGCAAAAAATCACGTCGCGCGTCTTCTACGGAATTCTCGTGCATGCTCGCAAAGAATTCCGCAGCTGCCATCGGCGACGCCTGGCGAATCCACGGGAAGTGGCGCGAAGGTGCGACGTCAAACGTCAACGAAAAACAGCCTCTAGGCGCGGTCGCTGGAATGCTGACCGTGCGTGCCTTCTCGCGCGCTTCCATTCCGTTCCGCAGCTATGTAAATTGAGCCTAACTCTTTCTACGTCCGTGGTCGAACGGTTAGCATGCTGGTCTGACACGCAGAGGTCCCGAGTTCGATTCCGGGGTCGGGAGAAAGTTTTCTATGGCCTACATTTATTTCTCTCATGCGTTTGAGTGTAATTTATGGTTGTCTATGTGTGTGTTCATGGCATCCGCGATACAGGGTTTCATTAGTGCGGGGCTTGAAAAACAAACAACCAGTCATAATAAAACTTCACTTCGAATATATTTAAATGTCAAAATAATCATTTATAAGTACATAACACATATAATTTCAACTTACTCTACCTAAATCTACAACACATCTAAATATACTTATGGACATATTTAGAGGAATCTAAAAGCAATGTAGAATTATGATGACAACGTACACATGAACCTGTGGCCACATATGTATATCAGTGCCTCTACCATGAGTTTACAGTGACAGCGCTAGCGACTGCGTAAAATGTTTGTATACAAAATGTTATTTCTGTGACCGCTAGGGGCGCTGTATAATTTGCCATACAAAATTGTGAAGTAATTAACGCGATCGCTAGCGACAACTGTCACACTTAACTCGTGGTAGAGGTAAGGACGTTTAATCGACATCAAAAGACGATTGGAGACATTATTTTTTCAAATTAAACGTTCTTGTACATGTGACCAGTGGTTCACGTGAACATTTTTATTATAATTCAACCTATTTTTAGCATTCTTTTAAATATATTCATGAGTGTATTGTCTCCTTAAGTACTAATGAAATAAAAACTACTCATTTCGACACTTCCGTGTCCTACATCAATAGTCCTGACATAAATAATCAGTATATTAATAGCAATACGTCAAGGACCAATTACAAGACCAATAGTAATACTAAATTTGATAATATTTTTCACCTTGTTTTGATACAAATTGTAAATATCACAGTGTTTCATCAATGTCTACAATACCAATTTATTACTCTAGATTACGTTACACAATACAGCACACATATTATACGGATAATTAAGAAACAAAATTTAAAAAAATAGAAGCAAAATATAATTTCGCTTTTACAAAACTTCATTATTATTATGAAACCTGGCTTAATATTCTATGAGATTCTAGAACGATGAGATTTTAATCAGACGCTCTGCCCATACATATTAGCGTCTGGCGCCAGCACCATTGAATGGAGCGTCTATTATTTTTATTATCATCAGGAATTTGGAACTGATTACAGCAAGAGTGGTTACAAACGCGCGATTGCAATCAATGCTATCGCCTATAAATCCCAAGTGTAGCGATGAAATCACGCGCTTGCATCGTTTTTGCGTCGCTGATTAAATTCGCGCGAGTGTAATGCTCTGGAGGCGGCCGCGGAAGCATTCCTTGCCACATTGAAACGCGGTCGGCGTTTCAGTATGGCAGGGTTCATGTGAACTCGTACATTACAAAAAATCCCGCGCCCGGATCGCTTCCGCGGCCGTTTCTGTGTGGCCTGAGCATAAAGTTAGAAGATTAGCGACTGCATCGATACTGCATCAATGTTAAAAGTCGCCATGTGTTTCTAAATAATAATAATTTTGAAAATAAATCGCCCCCTCGGTATAATAAGACCACATCTGAATAATGATAACTTTTTAACAGAGAGGTTTAAGATTCTACGTACGAAATTGGTCGATAACTATTTTATGCTCTTTTCATTATATGTCGTGACGGAACGAACAAATCGTGCATTTGATGGTAAGCAACACGTCTGTCCATAGCAGTTCCAAGGATCACATTGTGGTCGGCATCTGACGCCTCACTGCGCTCAAGTATCGCGCTCAAACCGCTCCACTGGAGCCGAGTTGACTCCATATTTGCATAACACAAATTTGCACCTTAATAATGGGAAAATAGAGATGAATATGCTATAGGCGAAAAACATGACGCGTCGCGACGCTTCGACTCTGCGCCAGTGTGAGTTGAGCCTTAGAGTTTTAAGCAGTAAAGTCCTGAGCCATTCCCATTGCGCCCGTCAACCTGAGACATGAGTAGTTCCATGAGCCTGTAATATCGGCGGCAGAAACCGGTAAGGTGGCAATTCTTCCCTGGGCGTACTCTTTCAAAATGAGCTCTATTGTTATTAAAAAATTGGACACTAGGAGAAGGACAACAGGATATTTATAAAATTTTACATATCTATAATTTGTTTCAAGTAATTCATGTGGTAAAATTACTTTTGACGCATTATCGTATGTGGCTTTATTATATACAATTTCCTTTAAAAACGTTTTCTCTGATAAAATTTGATCAGACACCATATTTAGATTTAAACCTTACAAGTAATCAGTTTAGTACAACACGCTTCCATTATTACTAGATACTGCCATTGATTCCTTGTAGTAAAACAAGTTATTTATAGCTTGTTGCTGCAAACCATGCTTTCTGTAAATCCCATTTCTATTTGAGACTGTGTTACGTTGTCTTTGTCTAAGTCCGATCCAGCATTGTTTGCATATTCTTTGTTCTTTCTAATTTTACTCTCTTCAGCTTCAAACGCCTTATTTTCTATACCCATTTTTTGTTTTGTTGCCTTATCCCCAAGTGTCATTTCTTTCTCTTTGTTTTCAGCTCTTTCCTGTTTCTTATTTGCTAAGTATAACCACCTGTAAAGTTAGACAAGACGCAACGTTATTTATATTGTGAGATAAAGCACTTCGTAGTTCAAGCACACATTACAAAACACCTGTCTGTTTAATAATACGTAATTGTCAATAGAATAAGAAAACTTTGTACAGAGTACAATTGCAATAAAAACCAACTATTATGGTATACTTAAGTCTTTAATGCGTATACATAATATTAAGTCGTATAAAATGTTGGTATATAAAAAATGGAATGATTCTTTCGCTTTTTACTCTTACTACCTTACTACTACAGCAATTGCCGTAATTGTTAGATACAGTCAGATAGATTTGGTCCTAAATTGGCGCTTTCAAACACACAGCCACAGACGCACGCAAGTTCCCATACATACACGCACAGTTTTTGTGTAAACAATATCACATATGTTGCTCTGAGCCCAAAGTAAGTAACTAAAGAACTTGTGTTATGGAAGTTGGAAACAACGTCAGTAAAGTCAAGAGCACATCAAGCTTGACACTTTGTACTTCGGACCGATCTTGTCTCGTTGAGTTGGGTTTAAACCTTAAGTGTGAAGCTTGACGTGCTCCTAACCCTGTACCACAAACAACCAGACTCGCGACACATATATATGTGTGTAATAAGAAAGGAACTTTTGTAGCGAATTCGGGAAAGCGACCCATTCCGAAAAAAGGTCCATTTCAGAATATAGTCTATTGGGGAAAGTATTTATATAAGACTACGGTCTATTAGGGAAAGTGGATGTATGATATCAAGTGACGTGGCGAATAAGTTGTGTCTACTGGTAAGCGACACGCCTGTCCATAGCAGTTCCATAGCCACTCAGAACTTTAAATCGCAAAGATCTGAGAGGCACTGCCACTGAGCCCGCCACCTTGAAACATAAGTGGACAAGTCCCATGTGTTTGTAATTTCACCCGCACCCGTACCCATATAGACCGGAACGCTATAATACTCACATTACTGCTTGGCGGCAGAAATAGATAAGGCGACAATACTCCCCTGGTCGAACTCTTTCACAAGGAGCTCTGCTGCTGCTTGGTTCTTGCGGAAAATAGAGTTTTCGGAAAAGTACCAAACCAAAACGACCCCAGAACCCCATGGCGAATAATGCTAAAATATAGCCTTTACAATAAATACTTACAAGAATATAACGACAGCTGGCACCGTCAAGCCGCCCCCAAGAAGAAAAAAGGCGCCTGGGAATGTTTTTATGGTCGCCGAGTAAACCGTCGTGTACATTGGTGCATAAACTAGAGGCATCATTGCTTCAGCAACCCCGAAGAATGAATTAACTTTTCCTGTAAATTATAGCGTGTATGTTAAAGGGTTTTTTAATGATTTTGAAGAGTAATTAAAAAACAAAAATCATTAATCTAGAGCGTCGACTTGTTGATTATACTTGTTGATCATTAACATTTTCCCCCAACTTATATTTTCAACTGACTTCAAAAAGGAGGAGGTTCTTAATGCGTCTATATTATTTTTGTGTTTACTTTACGCGATTGATCCGACATCTGTGAACCGATTTCGACGATTTTTTTTTTTTGGAAATGGGGTACCTCCGTTGTAGTCCCTCATTCCAATCATTCAAAATTGAAGAAAATATTCAACCTCTAAAGGTAGCAAATTAGAGGACAAATTCGGTTTATCCAATTTCACACACTTCACGTTGACCGATTTTAATAAAATTTGGCACATAAATGTAATTCCAATTAAAATAAAACATAGCATAAACGGAGAACCAAATTAACGGGTTGGTTTTTCATAATTATTATTAACACGCGTTTTATTTATCTAGAAATTATCACTCGTGATATATTAGTATCCCGTTATTTATAGGTTCAAAATTGCACGAGCTCATAAATTCGTAATTTTCGACCTAAAAGAGAATATATCTTTAACATAAATTGAATAATTCTTATAAATTTTAAATTGGTAACACACGTCTACCGCATTAAATTTATGATTTTTTTTATTAACCTGCACGGTTACATTGTTGTGCTCCTTCCTCCTCATATTTTCCCTGTTATTAAAAATAATTAATAATTCAAATCCTTACCCAATTCATCCTTGTCTACTAATTTAGACACCATTGAACGCATCGCAATAAATGACGTTCCATTGAAGATTTCAATCAAAGGTGCTGAAAATGAAAAATATTAAAATGAGATTACCTATTTTCTAGTCAATGGATTTCTGAGTAGTCTTTGTTTACGAAAATCAATGGAATAGAAGAATTTGAATAGTGAAGTTCAGCTTTATGGATCATAAGTATTACCGTTACCTTTTATCCGAAAATGTAATAATATCTAATACAATATAGTATATTAGTGCGTAACATTGTCAGTGTCCACCTAAAAGATAATTGGATGCTGATAAGTAATAATGTATCAACCAACATGATCATAGGTCTGCGAAAATAACATTTAAAGATATCTTCGTTGTTTTTGATAGTTATTCAAAAAGAAAAATATTTTGTTTAGTGTTTGGTTATGTTTATAACATTGTCCTGTATTTCGCTTCAGATGTTTGCTCGTAGTAGAGGAAAACAACAAGTTTTTAGTTTGTTCCCAAAAATAATAAAGAATTTCCCGAATATTCCCAAATCTGCCAAACTCTGCCACATTTAATATAACTTATCATGTTCTGCAATGTTCTGCAGCAATGAAAATGAATAAAAATTAAATCTGCCACAAATGGTCACACTGTTCTCAATATCAATGTGACTTTGACATTGGCAAGACGTCTCTTGTCAAAACGTTCCTTCTTTCAACTTTCATTATCTCTCATTTAAATATTGTCTAAATATTTTTGTCATATTGTGTTTTATTTTTTGCTTTATATAATTACTGTTTAATTGATTACTTCATTGGGTATTATATAGCTTTAATGTTTTATGTGTGTACTATAAAATAACCAATACTTCAGGTAGGTAAACATTCAATCCTGCTTAAAATGAAACATACGTACAAGAACGTTATCCTATCTATGATTGAACTTAATCAATTACGTTGTGTTCTTGCATCTATTCTAAAATACAATGTTTTAGATTTTTTTTTATTCCTGACATCTAAAAATATAAAAAAAATATATTGATAACTAGGCATAAACTAAAACGCAAAATTATACTAGCAAAGTCTGCTCTTGTGTGGTGAACGGCTCTTCGTCGTTATTGGGGCAGCTTCACCATCCTTCTTTACTTATAAAAAGTTTTGCTATTGTGCTTGTTGTTGTTGTTCGGGAATTATGGATAGTATTATATCACAACACCCATTATTCCTAAAGTATCAATAGCAAAAGTGTTCATTTTATAATTACACTTTAGAAATTTTAGAACTATCAAAAACAACGAAAACATCTTTGCGTGTCATGTTCGTAGAACTATGATCATATGGGTCGACACAATAATGTGTGGTGCGACACAACTCAAGAAATGAAACTATTTTTCCAGATATAAATCGCGTATGTATGTTTGAAAAAACAGACATACGCGATTAAATAAAAAAAAAGTTTAATTTCTTATGTGTAACAATCGCGAAAACCTAAGAACTCGAAACGTTATTACTTTTCATCATTTTTCACCAGCCAAATTATTATTACACCTTTTTGTTACACAATAATAATAATAGCACCAACCTAGGCTCAAACTATAGGCACCAAAGCAACGGAATTCACTTCTGATCCCTTCCCAAATCAGGACTATCTAAAAAAGCTCATTTCCTAATTGATCCTGACGGGAATCAAACCCGGCATTTCCACATTCAACTCTCATAGTGCAAACCATTGGATCGCCGTGGCCGTCACACTGCTAAATATACTAAGAAAATGACTCCACGACGTAAATTGTTAGCACACGGCAACAATCCGACAAAAAAGTGACCTTACATTCACAAAACTTTTATTATACAAACCTATGTATATTTGCCAAGTTTTTGTAGCAAAGGCGTACATAAAGCCAGCTAGTATTTTACTGGTACACGATATAACTCCTATTATAGCATCATCCAACTTCATCAGGTGACTAAATACGCCAACGGAAAATAAAGTCCCTGAAATAGAAACACAGATTTAAATAATAGATTTTAATATTTTCAAAAGGCGGATGTAAATAAGCAATTTCTATTGACATTGTTACAATAAGCAACGTTTTGAATCCCGAAACATCTAATTGAAAGTATTTTTTTGGTTTTGTAGATCGAGTTAATATCACAACCATTTTTTCATACTGTGTCTGGGTAATTTTCATATTAGTTTTCTCTACGTAATTTCGGTGGCTATTTTTATTATTTGAGTATTCGTGTATATTATCGTGTAATGTTAAGTAATATTTCATGATACTGCTGTCGAATATTAAATAATCTTCATGATAATTTCTAGAATATTTAAATAATAAAAATTGCCACCGAAATTAGGTAGAGAAAACTAATCTAAAAAATACCCATCTGTATTTATCAGACTTTTATAACGATCATTGATTTTGCGTTATAAGGCTTATCCAACACTGAAATAACGAAGCAGATAATAAACCTTTCTTAAACTGAATCAGCCTGATCGTGGGCTTTAACCATTCCGTCACTTCACTATTCGGTCATTCCATGACGCGAGTCATGCCTGTTAGGTTAACGAACTTTTTTCCAACACTACAATAAACTGACTGAACGACGCCTGGCGACAAAGAATGTCCAAAGGCACGAATCATGATTTTTTTAAAGACTTGATTATCAAAATGTTTGTTACTTTGGATTATTGTAAAGCATCTACTCCCGAAATCTTGCATAAATAAGTAGCAGTAGAGCTCCTTGTGGAAGAGTTCGTCCGGGGAAGTACTGCCACCTTACCTATTTCTGCAGCCAATCAGTAAATAATATGAGCATTACTGTTTTACGGTTTTGAAGGATGAGGGTGCTGGAGAAAGTACACCCACGTGGGACTTGTCAACTTATGTTTCAGGGTGACAGACGCAGTGGTAGTGCTCCTGAGATCTTTATGATTTAAAGCACTGAGTGGCACTGCAACTGTTATGGACTGACATGACGCTTACCATCAGGCGCACGACTTGCTCATCCTATCACTATCATCATTAAAAAAATAGTTTAGCCAGTAGAAAAAATGCTCAAAATACCGCTTAGTTCTTATTCTACTATGGTTTGACGGCAAACAAATACAAATATTTCCCGCGGCCCGGGAATCAAACCCGGGACGTCTGCATGACAGTCCAGCGTGGTAACCGCCACGCTGGCAGTGGCCACGGAGGCAGTTGATAAAATAAATAGAAATAAGCTGCTAATCATACTTGACAGATTGTTACAATATTCGTGAATTTAAATAGTGTCAAAAACGAAATATTGTAATAAAATCAATTCCAAGATTTACACTGTCATTTCCAGTTTTAAGACTTGTTGTAGTTTAATCGAGCGTATGTTTAAATGTTAATTCTTAATGGTAATTTCTGTATATCTTTCTTAATTACGTACCTACTAATGAAGTACACATGGAGTACGCTGAAAACATACTGAAGTCCACTTCGTTCCAGTTAAAACGATACCTCGTGAAAAGATAAGTTACCGCCATTTCACCTGAAAAAAAAAGAATAGATATTAAAAAAAAAATATTTCGATAAGACGATGAACAGAATTTAAAAGCTTAAAAAGGTAGATTCTCAAAATAAGCAGCTCTTCCTATTGTAATGTTTAGTAGCTAAAAATAACACAGCATTAATTTTGTCATTAACACAATACTTATGTTCAACATGATTTTCATTGATTATATTAAGTCACAAGCAACAAAAATTATGTTGTTAATTATATAAAAATCACAACAACAACAAAAACAAGGAACATAACAAAGGACTAAGTAGTTATGTTGACTATTTACGTTCTTTCAATGGCAACAATTTGGTTTCCGAGAGAAAGACGCCACACCAATGGCAGGAAGTTGTACTCGATTAAGGAGCTGCGTCACATTCAGATAGCTACGTTCATAACATTAGAATGACTGTGACGTCAATAAATACAGACGAACTACAGTACTATACAGCCCTCCTTATCATAAGTAACGTAACCGACATTTTTAGCGAAATTAGGTTATTCATTTCACAAAAAATAATGGAATATTATGGTGGTGAAACTTCCTAACATTCAATGAAAAACTTAATTTCGATTATGAGAAAGGCAATGGCTTGGCCAAACTTTCCGTGTGGTTTTTCACTAGCTAACTTTAAACAAAAACAGAACATTTTTCTTTTAAAATGTTATATTGTCTGTGATCATTTTAAAAACAATATCGATTTGCATGCAATGCGAATTGCAGCTAGGTTAAGATGTTACCTATTTATCCGTATTCGCGCGGTATAATATCCCTTCACTGCCCTCCTTGTCATGCATTTCGGTCGAGATTGGCACATAAAGTTTTATAGTCTCCTAATAAAATGTCAGTTACGCTGATTTTGCGTAAGAATAAAACTGAAACTAAATAACATATTAAAAATCGATTAGATGGAGTTGAAAATTTCGTTTCGCTGATCCCAGGTATGCTAATTACAAATTTCGCTGTTGATGTTGATTACGTTAGTTTGTTAGGTGACGAAATACTTTCATAGATTTCTCATAGATGGCGTTATAGCTAAAAAGTGTCTAAAAACCATATACAATAATCCCACAAACAAGCACATAGAAAAATTCGTGAAGTTCGCCGGTTCTTTCAGTGGTTTAGTTGGGATAGCATCTGACACGGTTAGCTAGCAGGCGTCGGTTCGAATCCAGCCGGATCGAAGGAATTTTTACTGAGTGTTCGATCTTTGTATTTCAATAATTATAACAAACTAAGTGGAGTTATAAGTGGAGTAATGTCGCAAAAAATAATTGAATATCATGCTGGTGAACATCTTGACATTCAATAAAACACTTAATTACGTTAGTTTATGATAAGGGCGGTAGTTCAGATTTTTCACTTGTTGCGGTCTTTACAAAATTCTTTGAATTTCGAGACACGACTTTCCTAGACGCAGAGTTCATGAAACGACTTTAAACTGAGCAGTATTTTTTATTAAAAGGGAAATCCTAAAATTACCCGAAAGATGACAAAAGATTGTAGGATAAGATTGTAGTATGTGGCCAATACATTATTGATTAAAGTTTGATATATATTCTAAAAACTTTTTTGATTTATACTTTGATACTGCACGGACTTTATGACCAAACAAATAACGTCATGATTAATTGTGGACAATGGTAAAAATTATTGAATAAAAAAAACTAAATATACTTAGCCGTTAGTATTTTTTTTATAATTAAAGTGCGTTCAAAAGTCGATAGTTTACACTCGAGAAACGGAAAATAATAATGACACGCAAATATTATTTTAGGCATAAGCATAATTCTTATTCTGCCGCTATGGCATCATCTCCACAAAAAATTTAAACTTCTGCAAAAATTTGAGTGCAAAATTAGTTTTTTATGTGCCAATTTAGTTCCAAATTTCAATAAAATACACTCTGATTTGTCTGGAGATAAACGAGTTAAAAGAAAATAATACCAGAACCATACATTATTAACCACCGGAATGTTATGACGGCTTTTATAAAAAGTAATTTAAAAGTCTTTACTTACGTGCGTTTCTATCTAATGCAATAATACAATAGTTATTTGTTTTGCAAGGCTGTAAAGTTGTTGTTTGGCGCGAGTGCTGGAATTGAACCCTGAGCCTAGCGAGCGTTTCAAGCCACGAGACCCAAAACAAATTTGCTGCCTAGCGGAACACACAACTTTTCACCTCATTAGAGCGAGGAAAATGGTAGATGAAAGAAAAACAATTGAAATATAACAAATCAGTTTTTCATCACCGCTAGACTCAGACTCGCTCATGTTTTGTTTCTTTTCAATTTATTATAGTACAGTTCAATCCAAAGTATTGAATTGGAGTCACTAAAATGATTTTTTTTATTAATAATTTTGGCTTGGATACAAGTCCATTGAGCCATGTCTTCGTTTAATTATGTTTCTGTAAATATGGCCGCCACAAAGAGGATAGGCAATTTGAGGCCGCGTGCTTGGATTGACTCGGCATTCCTTAGAACGGACCGATACGGGTATTTTAGTTCGAGATTCGTATAATTTCGCATTTTATTCTTCGATTAAGGCACAGAGCACTATCCTATTCCACTTTAAAGTAGATTTCACAAAATAATTGAAAGTCAAAATAAAAACGACACTTTTCCCTCCAAAATGCCAAGAGCGAATAAAAAATGAAAATTTGAAAAACATAAGTTTAGTTTCTGGTGCGTTCTGAATTTACACCACATACGTTTTTTTCTTGTTTGTATTATAATTTTATGTTATTAACGAAATTATTTTAGTTCTTCGACAAATTAAAATAATCCAATAAAACAAAATTACAGTGTTATCGTTGTCAATTTAATATCAAGAATAATAAGAATAAATTATACCAACGGATTAATATTATATAAACACTTAAAGTATATATGACGAATCGCGTCTCGGAACGCGTCACAATTTTTTTTAGACAAAAGAGAAAGTTTAACCTTCGGATGCGTTCTGAATTTGCATGTCATACATTTTTATTCTTACTTGTACTTATAATTTTATGTGATTATTGATATTATTTTAGTTCTTCGACGAATTAATATAATTTAATAAACAAAATTAGTTATCGTGGTCAATTGAATATCAACCATAATTAGAATAAAATATACCAACTGATCTAAATTACATAAATAATGTACGACAAATCACGTAGTTGAACGTGTCATTATGATTTTTTTTTCACCGAAGAAAAAAGTTAGGTGCACTACAGTCCATTGTCAGGTTCGAATTTCAAAAACCTCTTCCATGCTAGCGTGCAAAAAGCGCTTTTGCGCGCAGATTTCTAATGAGAAAGAAAGCCTTTCCGAGCTAGTGAGGTGAAAAAAATATTTTTATTTCTTAGGTAAGCTTTGATTAATAACTACATATAATGTTTATTCCTTTGATTAATCCCCCTAAAATAAAAAACGCGCGAGGGATTCATTTATTCGTAATTTAGAATAACTTTATAGCAGCAACAAGTTAGTTTGGAGTTGGACGCAACAACATTTATCCCAGTGTCTTTAATTTATAATAATAATTATATATTAGGTAGAAGCGGATTCTCACCATAAATGGGTCCAATGACAACACAGAGCACAACGACTAGCATGACGACGCGCAGGCGTCGGTTATTGGGCCCTTTTTTAAACGCCACCATCAATGTCTCCTTTACGTAACGCATATCGAAGAAGTTACGCATCCATTCGCAACAATTCTTCGATGGTTTCTGTAAATCATAATTATCATTATAGACAAATAAATAACATTTTTTTTAAATTTATACATAGCAAAGAAGTTTAAACAGTAAAAGTAAGTTGAGTCAAAAAGTATAAGCTCAGCTTATGATGAAACGGTGATGGTAACGTGCAGCGCTGTTTTTCAGCCTCTGCCTACTCCCTTATGGTATTGAACGGGAGCCATTACTACGAGGGTTTTAACCTTATATCTATTCATTATAAACTAGCTAATTTATAAACTAAATTACACCCATACTCACGAGAGAAATAAATGTAGGCCATACACATATTTCTCCCGGCCTGGGAATCGAACTTAGTACCTCAGCGTGGCAGTTCGGCCGGCATGGTGACCGTTTGACCACTGAGGCAGTTATTATAGAAACTGACTAATTACATTTTTATCCTCGCTATACCTGGAAATTGGAGTAAGAAGTTTCTCTATTGATAATTTGAACATTTATAGGGAATTGAAACTATTTTTTGACTCTTACTTGGGCCTGAAACATTTTAGTAGCAGTTTACTGCGCTTATTCATTGTGAAAGAGTTCGCCCAGAGATGTCACCTTTCCTATTTCTGCTGCCAAGCAGTAATATGAGAATTATCGCGTTTCGATTTTGAAGAGTTGAAATTATAGGTTTGTCGTGACGAGCGCAATGGCAGAACTCCTCAGATTTAAATTATGGACAGGCGTATCGCTTCGTCTGTTTTGTTATTTGGTATTCAAAAAAAAACATTGGTTTGTTTCACAAAATTTAGAAAAACTTTAGATTTTTTTATTTATTTATTTATTTACAGCCACCATATTCTAGGGTCAGAAATTAACTGGTTATATTGAGCTTTATACCATTAGCAATATTGAAAAGTTTGGATATGTACATTTTAGACAAAGACCGTTGGTCAAAATTTACCTGCTTTGTAAAATTTTATGCACACATACGAAATACCTTTTTTATTATACGGTTATAGGCTGCTATTAATTCCATATATCGTCGCCTTATTTTCTCAAACTCGTATCTTAAAGCACAAAGTTGCTGAAGTGCAAAAAATGGATTGTACATACAAATTTTGCAGGCTGATTACACATCACATTTCCTTTTTTACCTATTCTTAAAGTAATGCATCCAAATTAACCCCCTTGATAAGAAATTTAAAATAAATAGAAAGTTTCGTCATCTCCTGAATAATCACTCTTTATAAGATACGAGTTTGAGAAAGTAAGGCATCGATATGTCCACATGCATTTTTCTTAATCGATAGTAGTAAAAAGAAAAAGTTGCCTAAACTCAAAAAGTTAATGAGATTTTCTTTATTTTTTGCATATAAAAATCTCAAGTTTCTCAATCCTTGCAAGTATGCGACCACAGACCACATAAATACTAGTAATAGACTGGTTAGTGGGCGGGGTCCGCGTTACCTAGCTTATGAACAGACGTTCATATGAGTGTCAACAGTGCGTCAGTCGTCGTTCAAATGTGATACATGATTATTTTGTGGAAAAAATAGAAATATGCCGAATTGTGCCATTATATCATGTCGTGTAAGAAGCCAAAGCTTAAAAAATACTCCGGGAGTGATTTCATTTCATCGGTAGGTGCTAAAACTCCGTATTTTCTAATATTTTGAACAATACAATACTATAATTTCGAAAGAAAAGTATTTCCTTGCAACCAAGGTAATAACAATATACATAGGTTGCTAGCCATCGCCGCCGTCAAAAGAACAATTCGAATGACGCTTAATGAATTGCTTGTACTGGCATCGCATTACACTTGGTACTGGGTCCGCGTGTTGTAATCAAATTATCGATATGTATAAACTCTGTATTTAGAAACCCGGTTTTGGTTTAGTTTAACATTTTTTTTTATTATAGCGGTACCAATGTGTAAACATGAATTGTTTACAGGTATTTAAAAGCTAACACTTTTGATTACTTGAATGTTTAGTCACAACACTCGCAATAGTTTTTTTTAAATCTTCAATTTAAGTAAAAACGATACATTGATGGAGAAAAAAGGAAATGTAGATAGAAGAGGTACAGTATCGATAATTTTACATTGCACGCAAGCTCATGGCGTATCAAATGAAGACTTTATGAGATCGGAGATTTTTTCCCTTATCTACATGATTCCTATCTCCCTACTTGCTTATTATACGTCACCTTCATCCGTTTGAGTTTTAAGTTTTGTCACAGGCATGATTTACATTTGCAGTTTTTGTATTGATTTTTTCTAGTTTCCCGCCGGATCCTTTTTAAAGGAGAAATGGGCTGAAGTAACAGGCAGTAAAAGCTGGGTACCCACTAAATGTAGCACCATTTGCTATATGCATTTTATGACATCACATTAAATTATGTACATATGAATAACAACCGAAAAAATCATTAAGAAATAAATCATTTGGTTAATTAGGTGGACATAAAACTCAGAGTCGCGTTCACAAATTATAGACCACATCTAAATGTGAAAATATTTCTGAAGCATTGTCAGTTATTTTTCGTCAAGTTTTCATAAAACAAATGATTCGCTTCTTCGCCTTCGGAAATAAGTATCGTCATTTTCTTGATAAGCTCGTCGACGTTATAAGTGACACTGACTTGAACATGACTACTCATGTTCAGCCAGTTCAGAAAGAGGTAACTGTTAAAAAAATATATCATATTTCAGGGAGAATAAAGATTTTTATGATGACTGTGTTTTAATATTTCAACCCTTCCAGTGATCGGATTAACTTGAAATCTAGTAGGTCAATGAAAGTACGATGGCAGTATAATAAATCATTAATACTGTGTTTTTTAATTAATAAAAACATTTTTTATTTAAAGTTTTTTATTATTGTCTATTTTCGTTTGATAATTTTTAACCAATCAAAAATTATGTTATCTTAGTACTAATGTAAGATTACGTTTTTAAATGTATGCGTGTGGCGCACCGGTTTTGATACAAATGTTGCTTGATGCCATTTCCATTCTTTTCTTTTTTTCGTATATGCGGCCCGTTGTATAATTACTTAGCAGTTTATTGCACGCTATTTCATTTGTGTACATCTTAGGTAAAAGTTCCATACCGAAGTAAAGTAAGGAAAAATACGAAATTGTGAAAAAAAAAGAAAGAAACAAAAAACAAAATAAAAACAGAACAGGTTCAAAAATTAAGTTGGTATCGATATCGATATTATTACAGGCTTATGTTTAACATTACTCGCCTGTTAGTAGGAACTTGTTTGTATTAAATAAATTCAATTTCCATAATCGAAGGATACTTTCAATCGACTGTGACTTATATCTAGGTCAAGTTGACGGCCTTTTATACTCGGCTAGACTGATTTAGCCAATGAACTAGCATCTTTAACCTATTACATAATTAGCATCGAACCAAGGCTATTTTATTACTAATTTTAATTAACTTTTTTTTTCCGCAAAAATGTACTTTAAATAACCCCACAAAAAATACTTTTAAACGCTTTTTGCCGGAAGTTTTAATTATTCCGCTTTGTTTTTTTATTTATGGATTTATTACACGGATATTTTTTTGTATTTAGTTAAATCCGAGGTTGCATATGGAAATTTTTCTATTAAAACCACAAAAAGTTTAAATTGCTGGTTAACCTGAGTTAAAATATAAACAAATACATCGCAATGGTAATAGTATTGAAATTCCTTACTCAGCTATCTATATGAATATTATATTGTATGAAAATCAAAGTGCAGACCGGAATGGACGATCTCGGAAGCTATTTTTACAGTATAAGATTATTATGCATAACTTTATTCAGCTTATGGTGTAACAACTTACATAAAATTATAACAAACAACTTTCGCGAAATATATGTCAAAATTGGGTGAACAATTTTAGTTTTCTTTACAGACGTCCAATTTAACTGCAAGCTGTATTTTTTCGCGAATCCTAGAAAAGCGACAGTTTTTTAACTGGTAATTATACCAAATAACATATAAGTACGATTACTCTCTGTAAATAGTTATTTCACCCTGTTTGTTTTCTTTACCGTGTGAATTGCCCAAAATACAGATTAAATACGTAAGCGTAATTAAGCAAAAAATAATGTTAATCACACACAACTCTCATTTCAATCATTCTATAATTTTATTAATATCCCCCATCAGTAAAACAAGAGCACGCAACTCTAGTTGAAGCATCTCTTTGATCATTAATTAAGTGCTGGAGGTTAACCAGACCACCATTTTCTATCTTATCATTATTTACTCTGTAATCATACATGAACAAACAACACTTGTTGTGATCAATAATCCCTTGAGACTTAATAAAATGCATTTCACTGTTATTGACCATTCTAAATATGGAAGATGATATTGCGCACCTTATATGAACAATGTTAACTCACGAGTTGATAGAATAGACTATTTATAGCATCATCTTGTATACTTACAACATTAGAATCTGTTTTCTTCACTTCCTTAATTCTCCAGAATCCGTACAAGAAACTGAGAACGTACAATGTCGCACTTATGGAGAATGCTCCGTATAAACCCATTTTTCGCACGACAATTCCACTTAGAGCAGCTCCTACAGGCACTCCTACAGAATAAAACAAGTTCACAACGCCGATTCTTAAAGTCCTTTGTTCTTCAGTGGTAACATCTGCTATATAACTAAACACTCCCATGAACATCGTGAACCACCCGCCGGTCAAAGCTGGGAATATTGCTTCAGTGACGGCTGCCACTTCCAAGGGCAGCTGATAGAAAAAGTAAGTATTCAAAATTAGTCCTATACTTGTAAGAAACTCTCCGACTATAGGCAACAGCATACAAAATTTTCTCTGACCAACTCTATCGCTGTACGCTCCAAGAAATACAAGGATCCAACAAGGCAAAAAAGATTGCAGTACAGTCTTCCATCCAGTTACGGACGCAACCAGTTGCTGTACTGCCTCTTCTTCGGCAGTATAATTGGACGTTTCCCTTCGAGTCAGTGCGTCACACACATGGTGTGGAAATCTTAAATTTACTCGACATGCCTTTTCTATGTATAAATTCTGTGACGCCAAAGCAGATAGAACGGAAGGCATAACATAGCACGCTAAAATTGGTTCTACTGTTATAAGAGAGATCATCTTCCTCGTCTTTTCACAAAAGTTTAAGTCACTCCAATTGTCTTCATCCTTTGTAGCTTTTAATTTTTCGTTTCCTTTATATGATTTTCCTTTGTTAAAACTATTTTTAATTACATTAGTTCCATTTAAGTCATTGCCTCCGTTCAGATTGTAGCTTTTGTTTTGAGACTTGTAAATATCTGTGTTTTTTGCTTCAACAGCCATAACTGCATTACATGTATCTGAAAACAAAAACAAGACTATTTATTTTTTACTTATTTTAGTTTTAGTTGTAGTTATGAACTTTTTGTTAAGAATTTTTCTTCACATGTCATTATTTTTGTACATACGTTGGCATTTAAACTTGCCGTTCATATGTCACGGTCTTTTGTACTTTTGATTAGTAAATGCGCTAATGAGGTTAATGCTGTAATCATTCTATGATTGCTCCTGTACTGAGGTAATCATCGGATGTGGACAAAATTAGCTTTACCTAGACGTAATGGTTCTATAGACGTATTATCATCGATGTTTGTCGTACCATTTTGAAACATCAACTATTTATTACTTATGCTATACCCCAATCTCGCGTTATAAGCTTACTTAAAAAACAGTGTTAGCGCGCTCGAAAAGATAAAGGTGTCCGCGAGAATTTGCATATAATGTTTGTTGATCTTGGAACGGCACGCCAACGAGGTTTCGTGGCGGGCCTGAAAAGGATGAGTGTCTAGGAAGTATAATATCATGTATGTATAATAAGTATGTATGCATAAATTCAATCTATATTATATAACTAATTTCTACTGGGTAAAGCATTTACAATGTCTTACATATTGATATATTCGTCAGGTCGATAATAGAAAATAGCGATCTCTATGGGATTGCATTAAGCGTCAGCTTGAAATTGAAACTAGTACTTCTACGTGATGGTAACGGATGTTTTGACGTTGGACATGTTGGATAAGATAGCAGCAGAAGTTGGAGAATTTGACTTGAAATCAGCAGAACCTAAACGGACTGTATAATCTGGAATTTTGTCGGTATCTCCAGTTTCGTGCCCACATACAATCACCAAGTTAAAAAAATACCTGGATACATTCTTTCAGAGCTACAGAGCGGTTGATCGAGACACTTAACGAAATATTGACACAGAATGCATGAAATAACAAATACACAATGAGAGCAATATGACCACTTTTAAATCGAAAAGGAATGTATAAAAAAAACTAATAACTTGTATATAATGTATAGGTCTAACTGTATTAGACTTATACATAGAAAAATTCGTAAGGTCCGCTGGTTCGTTCCGTAGCTTAAATGGCTTATAATAATAATAACGCACACATTCAACATAACCTCGCACTAAGGAAACCCTGTGTCGCGAGTGCCATAGATACACACAGACAACCACAAATTACATCCAAACTCCCGAGAGAAATAAATGTAAGTAATACAAATATTTCTCCCGGCCCAGGAATCGTACCTGGGAATTCTGCGTGGCAGTCCGGCATGGTAACCGTTCGGCCACGGAGGCAGTTAGAATAGATGGCACAGCATCTCGCACGGTTTGCTAGGAGCAGCTGGATCAAATCCAACCGGATAGAAGGAATTTTTTCTAAATGTTCGTTTCTTCGTATTAATAATTATAACAAACTAGTGCAGTCAATTCACAGAAACAATTGAACATCATTGTGGTCAAACATCGTGACATCCAATAAACTTAATTGTATTAGACCTATCATATTGTATGAATCAAAATGTTGGGTCATTAGGGAAAGCATGAAACGACTGCGTACAACTGAGATTCGAATATTATGATGGATGTGTGGAAAGGCCAGATTGTACAAGATACGATTATATAAGAGCAACTTTTGAAGTATCCAGTGACCGAAAAGTTGCAATATAATCGATTAATGGTGTCATCTTCACCATTACCATTTCAACTGAAAGACGTCTACTTTAGATTTAGTATGGTAATGTAACGGGTGTCGCGTACGATCGCGATTGACAGCTACTGGTGAGTGCCTATATTCTTTCTGAACGGAATGTTAAAAATGGCAACACAGAGGGAGGAATTGGGGGAATGATGAATGTTTAAAAGGAAAGGAACGTTAGAGAGAAAAAAGGGGGAGATTAGTTTTTAGAGTAGCAAAAATGGTGAGAGGATTTGTAGTTAGTGCGAAGCAGATGGTGAAGTGTTTTCTAATCTGGTGAGTGTTTGTACTAATAAAGAGATATGGTAATATTGAAATATAGATGAAAAGAATACTGTATCTTGCTGGAGGTTTGGGTTGATCTAAGGGGAAGGTGGAGGATCAACATGGGGCCTCAGGGCCCCAACCTTCTGCACGTCGCTCTTGGCAACAGGTGTGCCCGTCTGATGAGAGGATCCTACCACCATGTGGCTCTCGGGTTCACTTGAGGTGTCGGTCGAGCACACAGAAGGTTTAACGATAATTGTAGTATGCATTAGCGCAATTATAAATCCCTATATCTCTATGTTATCATATTATTAAGCATGAGACTTTGTCGCATATGAGAATTGACATTACATTGAACCAAGTCTATCCGACATCATGACAAAACATGTAGGTTATAAAACGTTTCTTTCATCAATCAAAGAAGTCAAAGAATCATTTGTTTCATGAGTAAAATAAATTAACACTTGAAAACGTCACATTTAAGCTACTGCTCGTTCACTACGCTGACTAACCTGAGAAGAACGAGCAAGAAACTCTAGGGATTGCTCTTTTCAAATAAACTAAAACGCTATGGAATACACTTTGAATCAAATTGGCGTGGAATCTAAATCCATGTCGTCTTTCCATACATCTTTATGTAACACGTAGGATTTAATTTTGTAATATGAGTTTTAATGTAGCTTTTAAACTTAGGAAATGATAATCTTAGTATTTGTTCCGGAATCTTATTGTAAAAACGTATACAGATCCCCATAAAAGAGTCATTTACCTTGGTTAAACGAAATCATGGTACCGTGAGTTTGGATTTAGCTCAAAGGTTAATATTATGGATATCTTTCTTATTGAAATTATGTATATTTTTAAGGGCATATAAAATATTTGAGTAAATGTTCTGTGATGCCACAGTCATGATACCAGTCTCCTTAAACTTTTCTCTGAGAGAAATCCGAGAACCTAAACGGTACACAGAACGAATCGCTCGTTTTTGATCAAAGCAATAAAAAATAGGCACGGAATATATGATTTTATGTGTTTTTACGTTTATTTTTTTATATTTTGTATTAATCCAAGATAGAATGGGACTGGGTCTACAGGACATTCTACAAAAGATTTAATTTAGCGAGAGTTAATTTAACGGTTCGATACATCGACCGTAATAGTACATTTTCCGGCATTATTAAATTGAGCTGAATGGATTAAATTAATATTTGTTTTTAAAGAATATTCTGTATTTGTACAGGTATGATTAATTGCTGTTGCATCTGCTTGAGGAATGAATAGAACAAGACAATAAGTCTCCACGATCTAAAAAAGATTATGAAATACATACTGTACTTGAATCTTTAAAAGTGTACAATAAAGTGGAGTTTAATAAATAGAGTTAAGTTTTTCGCTATTGTACCGATAATTTCTATAAAATGATGAGTAAAAAATTACGAAACGGTCTAGTGATTCTTATTGTTTGTTAACGCGATGTTTTTGTATCGTTCATATTTGGAAGCGATGACATAGTGTCATAATGAATTGATTGTGTGATTCCGGCCTAACGCCTATTCGATGGCGCGTCACTGGTACTCGGTCACACGGCTTTGTTGGACTATTAGGACCGACAGAGCAGAACGAATACTACATGTACAATCGAAGACAGAATTTTTCAGAATTCCATTAACAGGTTATTATACTGTACAAGGCAATCTGTTATTGTTGTGAAATATAAAATTTTGCTTGGAAAGCAACACCTCAGGGAAGCTAACTTCGTCTTCGACTGTACACTGTTCATATGTACCTAGTTGTAGTTGTAGTAGTTGACAAAAGGGTTAATCGTATTGTAGAATATGTTATTGTTTTTATGAAAGTAGTTTACGAGACATAAACAGTGTTTAATCGGTATGTAATGTGGTATCATACAAATATTTCGAGTTGTTAGGTTTTCGTGATTGTTACACATAGGAAATGAAACTATTTTTCCGGATTTTAATCGCGTAAATTTTTTTTTCAAACAAAACAAAGGTTTGTTTGAGAAAACAAGTATACGCGATTTAAATCCGGAAAAACAGTTTCATTTCCTATATATAAATATTGTTAACCTAACGCTCATTTAATATAATTTTATTTAATACAAACTTTTTTCATATAACGATCCACTTAATCGCAGTTAATGTAACGAAAGTTCGTTAGAGTAACTGCGATTAATCATCTACCTTTACATATACGCGCGACTTTAAGCAGCGATGCCAACGCGATACAAACGCGATACAATCGCGATACAAACGCGATGCAAATGCGATCCACGTTTTAAATTAATTAACTCGTTTATTTAATGTATTTATTAATTTCACTATTAAATTTAAAATTAACAAAACAAAACAATGTGTATAAACCTATACCCTTTTTTGTACATAATGATTCAACATAAGCGACTGTATCGGTGCAGTTGCGCGTTTGCATCCATGCAATCGCCTATAAATCGCATGCTAAAAGTGCTTAATGTCGCCTTGTATAACTACTTTAACACGCATTGTAAATAACAATTATAGAAGTAAGTTATAAACCTCAGTTTAGGTATGTACATAACTAAATAGATTATAAGTATAATAGATAGTAAGTAATAGGTAGATAAATTCTACCTAACATATGTCACAAACAAAGCCGTTTTGGCACTCGCCGACCGCTGCCGCGAGATGCTCGATTCGCTCGCTCGGCTCGTTTTTTTCATATATACTAACCATAGATTATGTACTAAATCTATGATACTAACCTAACCTAACCTACTAAACGAGTATCGCTCATGACAGGTACACGTTATTTACGTGTACGAGGTATTTCCTCGTAAAATTATCTGAATTAACAATATATAAAATAGTTGTCATATAAATTGTTAAAGAAAATATAAAATGTTCTTATAAAATGTGAATTTTTCAAACGAGATTTATATAACATAAAGTTACAGGAAGTGTATT